ATGATTTCTCATGCTGTCTATAAGCTATAAAAACTAAGACAATACAACCTATATCGGTACATGCTTCGCATATCGACATCTTTGAGAAAAGTTAAATTTTCAGGATATTCTCATTTCGTGGACCAATTTTCTGTGAATTTCGTGGAACCGATCATCGAATCTTTTGCTCTGATGAGCCTAATATTAACTGAGGACCTATACATTGAATAATCTATAACGGTTATTGCAGATAGTCAGATGTATAGAGTCTCTAGAACATGAAATAGACAGTAAGTCACTTTTTCACGATATTGCTCTTGCTCATTTTTCAGTAATTTGTCAACAAAAAAACTATAATGTACATTGCACAATTCTCCATTTTCGTTCGAGATATCTCGTATGGCTATCCTCTTTCCAACGAGTGCATTTTCCGATGAGAATGAAACGATATGACTATTCTGTGTTCAATTTTCGGCCTTGAACCGAGCCTCAAATATACTAAAATATCTGACGCAATAACTTGGCTGTCAGGGATCCGATCCTCATGAAACTTGAACAAAATGTCAGTGGGGCAAGTACCTTTCTAACGCATATAATATCCAGTAGGTGGTGCCACTGGTATCTATTATTTTTAAAGAGTCTCGGAACTTTTGGATTGGAGGGTGTATACGATTGAAAATGGACTGCTGCCAAATTTCAACCAAAAGGGTCCATCATAAAAACTACCAATACCATTTTGAAGATTTTCAATCACTTTTCGCCGAGAAAACAAGTATTACCAGAATTTTTCCGCGTCAAACTTGATAACAACGACTTGAAATTACAACATATAAAAAAATGGTGTAATTCTATTGGGTTCCTTATTTAGAAAAAAAATTCGGTATTCAAGAAAACTTATTATTTTACGCTCTGGCTGCTTCTATTCCTCTAATAGAAAAAAATATTTATATTTTGAATCAATTTATAAGGCGTTTTCAGAATGCCGGCCGTTAGAATTTAATTGCCGTTTCAAGATCTTGTGTTTTGGCAAAAAATAAGCCCAAATGAAATGTACACCATTTTGAAACCACCATCGATATTGATTTAACGATATAACGATGTCTGCTCGATGTGGCCTGGCATTATCATCGTGAAACACAACTTTGTCTTGTTTAGACGCTATCCGTGGCCGTTTAATCTTCAATGCATGCTCCATTTTGATAAATTGCATGCGGTAGCGTTGGGCTGTAACCGTTTCACCTGGTTTTAGCAGCTCATAATACACGACACCTTTTTGATCCCACCAAATGCACAGCATAACCTTCTGGCAATGAATGTCTCGTTTTGACTGCGATGGTCCTGGTTGGCCTGGATCAACATACGCTCCTTTACGTTTGGGGTTGTCGTAATAGACCCACTTTTCATCGCCCGTGACAATTCGACTCAAAAAACTATGTTTTTTGTGTTCTTTGAGATGTTCTCTGCATGCTGTGATTCGTGCTTTGAGTTGATTTTCAGTCAGTTGATGTGGTACCCATTTTCCTAGCTTTCGAATCTTTCCCATGGCATGTAAACGTCCGGAAATGGTTGCTTGAGTTACATTTAACTCCATTGTGAGTTCTTTTTCGGTTCGGGCCGAGTTTTCATCCAATAATGCTTGCAATTCTGCATCTTCGAACTTTTTTGGCTGACCTGACCGTTCTTGGTCTTCTACGTTGAAATCACCACTTTTGAAGCGTCGAAACCAGTACTCGCATGTTTTAATCGATATTTTATGGTCAGAACCATAAGTTTCCGACCATAATCGATGGCTCTCAGCGGCACTTTTCTTCGAATTAAAGAAGAAAAGTAAAACTTCCCGCAAATGCTGTTTTTTTGGCACATATGCTGACATGATTGTAAGCGAAAAAATTATGTTGTTTACACTTTGACAAAATAACACATTCTGAAAACTAATGTCAAATGATGTGGCTTTCACGTGAATAAAGTTACAGTATGGTCCGATGCGTTACAGTACAAGTTACGCCATCTGGTAGAAATCCCTCAAAATTAATTTATACACCCAATACGCGATTTCTACTTTTGAGTGGCAATGTTTCGCAAAAATCACAATTTCTGTCTTCAAAGAGTGGAAATTCACATTATTTTCGGCTTATTTGTAAAAAAAATCGCAAAAGAAGCCTTCTTCAATATTTTTGTGAAAAACATGTACGAGGGTCACTATTTAAGTTTTTTCAAAAACATATATAAGACAATGGGGTTTCATCGAAAATGGTTTTATTGTTTTTCAAAATATTCGCCATGATGATCAATACACTTTTGCATTCGCTCGAACCATTTGTCATAGCATTCATGCCACTCCGAAAGTGATATCTCCAAAACGTGTGTTTTGAACGCATCAACTGCTTCTTCGGGCGATGAAAATCGTTGACCACGCAGTTTATTCTTCACGCTCGGGAATAAAAAGAAATCGTTGGGTGCCAAATCAGGACTGTACGGCGGATGACCCATTAAATCGATCTTTTGACCGGTCAAATAATCGACTGTTTGATGAGATGTGTGAGAGCTCGCATTATCATGATGAAGAATTATTTTGCGACGGCGGTTGTTTTTTCTTATTTCACCAAACACTTCGGGCAAACAAATGGTGGTGTACCAATCAGAATTGACGGTCTTACGAGCCTCTAGTGGAACTGTTGCCACATGACCACTTATCGCGAAAAAACAAGCGACCCTTTGCTTCGCAACACTTCGAGCTCGAACAACTTTTGTTGGGTTATCTTCACTTTGAAAGACCCATACAGTCGACTGCTGTTTAGTTTCGGGCTCATACGCGTAGATCCATGATTCGTCACCAGAGACGATAAAATACACGGATTTTGAAACACCACGATTGAATTTCTTGAGCATTTGTTTACACCAATCGACACGAGCCTTTTTTTGAGCGATTGTCAAATTATGTGGTATCCAACGAGAGCAAATCTTTCTGACAGCTAAATGTTCATGTAAAATCTTAAATACGCTGGTCGCACTAATGCCCAGGGATGCCTCAATCTCGTGATATGTTACATGACGATCTTCCATTATCATATTTCTGACAGCATCGATGTTTTCTGGTACAACAACTGATTTTGGACGACCTTCGCGGAACTCGTCGATGAGCGATAGGCGACCGCGCTTGAATTCGTTGTACCAATTATAAATTGTCCGAAGACTTGGTACTTCATCGCCAAAGGCCAAATGAAGTTGATCAAAACACTGTTGTTGTGATACACCCAATCGAAAGTGGAAAAAAATAATCGCTCGAAAATTTTCACGAGTAAAATTCATTTTTTGGCTGAGACGCAATTTACATGTTACGGTAAATAATACAAATAACGATCGAATAACAAAACGTTCTGAGAACGTTTATGCTACAAAATGTTAAACTTAACGAATATGACAATGGTTTGCATCGGGCAATACTAAAACATACATATTGAAGAAACTTAAATAGTCGCCTACGTATAATGTGAAAACAAATCGTCATGAAATCCGTAATATCGCAAAGAACGTAATAATATTAACAATGGATTGATTGAATATTTCGATATAGCAGTTGTTCGTTTAACTTTGAAATAATATGTATTATTCATTTGGCTTTGAAATGCGGATTATTATGCCAACATTCATTTACATATTCGACCCCTTCAATTTTCCGTTTATTTAATTCTTGGCAAAAACCTTGATTCCTTACTTAACATAATTAAATTGCAATGTTTCATTTCCTCGAAAGTTTTCTTAGTTATGGTTATTTTTATTTCTTCTTATTTAATAAAATTGGAAAAGCATGTAAATTGACTCGATTTCCTATGTTCCCCATCTATATTGATTGACAATAACTTTGTTGCTTTTTCTATTTTGCATTCCATCTGTTTTCAAAAAAAAATTATACTATTGTCATTTATTTATTTGTACATATGGGAAAACCATCTAACTAACAAGAAAAAACTAAAATCAAACAGGAATTGTAAAAGTGGCTAATAGCAGTGGTTGTGATACCGGTGACAGTCAGTAACATATGCGTGCCAACTATAATATAGTAATCGATTATTATGATGTGTGTAGGCACTGTGTGTTGCCTACAGACAGAGGATCTCAATAAGGGAAAACCATCGAGCAAACTAACACAGACCATTTAAATGTGAAAAGTTGATACTTGTCTATAGGATTTGAAAATAGCAACATTTTTTTTTCACGAATCCTTTTGCTAATAGGGTTCAAGAAGAAGAAGAAAAAAAACTAATTGAACACACTTGAAATTGAAAAGAAAGACTGATCACTATTAACATGATTACCGTTACGGAAAATTGTGGCCAAGTAATAAACCGTCATAAATATCATGCAACTAACTTAAATGCATTTACACAATTTCGCATAGAATAACACCAAGGAATATGTGGAACGAATTAATTCTATTGAACTGTAATTGGTTTTGGACACTTTGTGAACAAACAAAAAAGAGAATCGCGTTAGTTTTTTCCCTTTCTCATGCAAACTGAAATAAACTGGGACTCATATCTTACATGTCATATTGAGAAAGAATTAATACAAAAAACCACGAGTTTTAGTAGTTTTGTTTCGTTAGTTTTTATCCGTATCCAAGACGATTGGCGGCCACCACCACGATGACAAACAATACATATGTACACAAAAAATACTGTATAAGGAAATGAAAAAAAAAAAAAACTAATTCCAACCACAATCTACAATAGAAATCCCCTGTTACACACGAGCAGAAAAGAATTTAAAGGAGGGGAAATTCAAAAAAAACATATGGACTCTATGTATATGCTACACCGAACACGTCAATTACAACACAACGGCAGAACAGTTTGGCCACAACTATCGACTTAATACTATTTTTTGTGAATTTTTTTCAAAAATATTTATTTTGTAATTGTGCATATTCTTTTATTTATTGTATTTTTTCGGACAATAATTTGATTTATTTTAATGGAATTTCTGTTACCCGTTTATTCAATGTCGTATTAAAATTAGTTTGGACGGAATGTCCATCATCCGGATTTAACGGAACGAAAGTCAAAACCATTGGATCGATCATCGTTTCGACGAAATAATTTGGGAAGTGGTGGAACTAGTGCAAAGACAATGGCACATTCACCAAAGCATTCAGCAACATCAACACATGAAACAAGTTCATTGCTTCGACAAAATCAAGAGTTACGTGATCGTTTGGGTACATACAAACAGGCACAGCAAAATCAAGCGGCGCTTGTAGCTAGACTTCAGTCCAAGGTGTTACAGTACAAACGAAAATGTAACGAGCTTGAGGATCGCATGTGTGATACTGTACTGCCACCAAGTCCGAAACCTATTAAGGTACTGTTCCTTAACTTTTTTTCTCATAAAAATCTTTTTTTTTCGTGAAAATATATTTTTTATGAAATCAGGATAAATTTACCAACGATGATGGATCAGACGTAACGCATCCAAATTATTCAGATGTATCCATCAACGTTGATAAGTTTTTCGATAACGCGCAGTATGAAAATATGAATAATTAATGACCATTTATTCATTCACTTACACGTGATATTTAAACAGTCATACGGGGGTGGTGGTCAGTATGTAAGCGGTCATTCACCGCCGATGAGTTTACCGTGCATGACAACCACAGAACAGCAAAAAGAATTCATTGCACCTTGTGCTCAGGACGATATTCTAAATAAACTTGAAAGTGATAAACTGAAGTAAGTGCGCTTACTTTGGAACTTACTCTTGTCAGAAAACTAAATAAAAAAATAACTCAATATTTGTTTAAAATTTAGGTGTGAGCATTTATTAGTGCGGAATGAGCAATTGCGACAACAACTGCAAGAATCACATCGAACCAATTTAGCATTAACAAATGATTTACACAAATTAACCATTGATTGGGATCATTTACGAGATGAAATGGCTCACAAAGAAGACGAATGGAAAGAAGAAGAGCAGGTGATTGGGTTTACACTACTTTGTATTTTGTTGGCGTTTAATTCACATTTTTCATTCAAAATAGGCATTCAACGATTACTATAGTTCGGAGCAAAATCGTTTGATTGAAATGTGGCAGGATGTGGGATCGGTTCGTTATCTAATTCATTAATATAATCCAAAAGTTTAATAATAACAATAATAATCCAAACATTTTTATTTTTTATTTCTTTTCTATTTCGATTGAAGGTACGTAAATCTTTCCGTGACTTGCAATTAACGTTGAAATCCGATTTGAGCCGAATGCAACAAGACATATCTGGTGTAAATCGTGAATTAGCCAATGCATGTGGCTTTGTCGCTGATCAAATTCGACAAAATTCTGAGAATGAGGACGCATATCAAACCCAAACCGAACGCACAATTCACGAATTAAAAACTCAAGTCGATGCATTGAAATTACAAAATGAAACATTCAAACATGAGCTTGCCCAACGCGAACAACATTTGAAAAATGTTTTGGGTGATTTGAAAAATTGGGAAGCACGATGCATTGATTCTGAAAATAATGCTGCACAAAATACACGTTTATTTGATGAAATTGATCGTTTAACTACGGCTTTGAGGGATATTGCACAAATTGTTGTTTCAGATGCTGAATCAAAACAAGACGGTGGCTTTGTTGATACCCAACATATGCATTTAACACAATCACTACCATTGCCACCAAAATCACCGAAACGCGGTGGAGTTCGCACATCACAAGCATTTGCCGAAGGTACAATTTCAGCTGTTCAAGCGGTTCTGCATAAATATCAACTGGTCATTCATGATTTGCAGGTGAGCATAATAGAAAAAATCGGGAGCTTAAAAAGTAGTCACCTATGCAATTATTTTAGGTAAAACTGGAAACAAATTCAAATGAATTGTATTCAACACAGAAGCAATTAGATGAATCGCAAAATGCACGTGAAATTATTACCACTAAATTAATGGAGTTGACTAGTAAAATGGATGCAACAAATAATCAACTGTCTGAATTGAGTAAAGAACGTGAAAGTTCACAACGTACAATGGAATCTTTGCGAAGTGAAAAGCATACAATTGACAAGGAAAAAGTTGAATTAAACTTAATGATTGAATCGCTTAGCATTGATTTCGAAAAATCACAAACGGCTAAGAATCACTTACAAAAATTATACGATGCATTAATCGAGGAGAAGAAAATGCTCGATCTGGATTTGCAATGTGTTCGAAAGGACAAAGAAATCACTGAAATGAATTTGAGGTAATTATCGAGTTTTGGGCGACTATGACTATGACTGCATTGAGCCGCTGAATAGGACGGGAAGTTTTGACGGACAAATTCGATGCGTCTTGTGTGCATAAATTATAATATAATTTTTAGTCTTCATTTAAAACAAAAACCTTTTTTTTCTCATGGAAAACTGAAGTCAGTTCATATTGTTATTTTTTACAGAGCCGAAGAATCAAGGAGTAGTAATTTGCGTGAAGATACAATTATATTGAGAGAAGAGCTAAATAAATTATATTTAGCGCGTGATTTGCTAGAACAGCAACGTATCGAATCAGAAGAAATGCTAACCATATCTGAAAAGCAACGAGCCGATCTCGAGAGTCGTCTTGAACGTTTGCACTTGGAAAGTACCGATGTTAAGTATCAACTCGAAAAATCGAGTTCATCAAATACGCACATAACTCAGGAAATAAAAGATCTCAATACCAAATTAAATGAATTGGAATTGGAAAGAGGTAATTTGAAGGCTCAAATTATAGATCAGGCTGCGGATATTGGATCACTTAAGAAAGAACTTATTGCGGCCGAACAAATTCGTCTTGACATTGACGCCGAAAAGATGTCGGTGACAGAAAAATTGAAAATCTGTGAAATAAACAAAGAAAAGGTTGAATTGGAATTGAGTCAATTATCACGCGAACGAAGCGATATTTTTAATCAATTGGCTCTTATGACTAATAAAAAAGATCAAATTGCCGAAGAAGTAATGCGGCTACAACAGCGTTTGAAACAGTTATCCGAATGCAATGATCGTTTAAATCGAAATTTAGAGAATTTGATGAAAGAAAATGAAGACAAACTTATTTTGATTGAATCACATGAAAAGGAAATTCAAAGGCAACAGGTAATTTTATTTAACTACTTTTTTGAACAAACTCTTTTACAAAAAATTTAAAATTATTTGAAAAAGTTCGATTATTTTTCTTGACCTTCTTATCGATAGGAACACTTTGCGGCTCTTCGTTCAGAGAAGGAGGGACTCGAAGGTATTGTGAGATTCATTTAGTATAATGATTTAACAATAATATGTTTAGACTAATATGTTTGTGCTGTGCATATGTTTCACAAACAGGTATCCTATTTGATACTAACACCAATTTGGAAGCTTCACAGAATCGATGTGAACAACTTGATCGAGAAGTGCATGAATTAATTTCCAAACAAGAAACAATGAAAAACAAAATTGCGCAACTGTTAAAAGAATTGGAAAGTAATGAGCGTCGTTTACAAGAGACAAAAACGCAAATGAATAATTCTTTGAGCAATCAAGAGGCCGAATTTTTGCAAAAATGCAATTATCTAAAGCAATTAGGCGAGGATAATTTGAAAAAGTGGAACGATGAAAAAGAGCAATTGAAAAATGCAGCTGAAAGTCGATTGCATAATTCATTGCAAGCGCTTGAAACGAGTAAAGATGGTGAAATTTTTACGTTAAAAGAGCGTTTGGATTCATTGCAATTACATTTGGATTCAGTATGTCAACAGCATGAAGAAGTCTTGATTCGTTGTGAAAATGAAAAACAGCAAGCCCTACTATTAGCTCATCGCGATAAGCAAGCGATTGCCGATAAATTAGAGCAAACTCAACGTGAGCTTAAAACGGAAATGGAAAATTTGGAACGATTGCGTCGAGAATTTGCTGCCAAAACGGATCGTGATCGCACCACTATAAAATCAATTAACGATGACTTGGTATGTATGCATTTCGAGTACTAAAAAAAGCCACAATAGTCACCATCTACGACTACGGTCGGCTCGCCAATTGCAGTAGAATTTATCTATTCGCTTATATATATTATTCGATGAATTCGCAAAATTCATGGTTTTTTTTTATTGACATCTAAACAACCAGGTAAAATTGAAAACGAAATGCGAAGAACAAAAATTAAGAGCCGAAGAAGATTTACGAAAGACGGATTTAATGTTAAGTTCGATGACGTCCGAACGTGATTTGGCGCTAAAAGAAGTGGAAAATCTTAAAACTCAAATAGGTTTGAGCGAAGATCGTTACAATAGTGTGACCGCCCAATTACAAGAAACCATTCGAAAACTTAAAGAAAATGAAAACTTAACGGAAGGACTACGAAAAGAATTGATCGATTCGCGGCGTTTATTGGCCGAATCAAACATTGAACGTGATAAATATGTTAGTACAAACAAAGAATTACGCGATCATATTAAATGTGCAGAAGGACAGCGGCGAGAACAGGCTCGTAATTTAGAAGAAGCACTTCAAAAGGTGGCTAGTCTAGAAGACTCAAGAAATTCACTTGAAAATGATCGAACACGCATCGCAACGCTATTGAAGGAAACACAAAACAACATGACCAAATTAAATCAAGAACATCAAGCGGCACAGGCCAATATTCAAAAATTACAACAAAGCGCGGGCAAGAAAGAAAATTATTTCTATTATTTAATAATTCTTATTGATTCTTTTTCGATTATTTGCCGATTATTTTAAATTAATTCTGTTCTTTTCTTTTGTGTTTCCAACCTAGGCAAAAAAGAAATGATGGGCAATGAATTACAGGCTCGCTTGTCCAGTGAAACAGATGAACGTGAAAGAATTCAACAAGAACTTTGTCAACTAAAAAAACAGGTACATATCCAATGAAAATTAGTTTAAAAAAACAGGTGCTGCTCGAGTAAGATGTTCATTTATCGTCATATAAAAATACATTGGTATTATATATTACCAATGTATGCTTATGTGAAGAACGTGTTCACACTTTTCCGAACGTCATTAAACAAACGTAAATTCTGATGTTTCTTTTCAATTCAATTCTAAACCATCGATTAATTTTTAACAGATGGCGGAGTTGGATGAAACGTTAGAGAATACACGCCAAGATTTGGGCCGAACACGTTGCAAATCCAATCAAGACGAACATCGATGGCATACACGTAAAATATCGTCAAATCTATATTATTTAGGAAAAACCTAAAGTAATCCACTAAAACTATATAATTATTTCAGGTGAACAAGAGCTGTTGGGCCGGCTAGAAGATGGTCGGGGCCGTGAAAAATGCCTTGAAGATCAAAAACATAATTTGGAAGTGTGTTTGGCCGACAGCACACAGCAAATTCAAGGTTTTTTTCTAATACAAAGATTTTTCAAACATTTACTTATCACAATATATTTAATTATTTATATATTAAATAGAGCTTAAAGCTCGACTTGGTGGAGCTGAGAGTCGTGTTCGAGCACTTGACGAACAACTTGTACAAATGGAATCATGTAAAAAGGATATAGAACATAAGCTTACATCGGTTCTACATACTTTAAAACGAATTGCTGGAATTCAATTTGATGGAACGGTTACTGCTCCACACCATCGCTTGCTTTCACCATCGAGGAGATATAGTCCAGCACGGTCATCTGGTATCGATTATGATGGACGTAATGAGTGTTGTTTGTATGACATTGATCCAGAATTGATTCGAAAATCAGTTCGAAAATTGATGCAACAAGTGGCTCAAGTAGAACGTGAAAAGGAAGAGTACAAAGTTCAATTGCAAACAGCCCGAAAGGAGCTTGATGAGGCGGCAAATCAACAAACTCGAAGTGAAAATAAAATATCGAAATTACAACAAATCCTACGAAATGCAAATGATGAAAAGGCTAATTTGGAGTCAAAATTGGCTCAAAAACAACTGGCACTACAAGGCATTGATGATGCACTCAAACTCAAAAACGATGAGCTAAATGCGTTAACTGATAAACACAAGAGTTTGGAGCTTCAATTCTCAAGCCTAGCTGAACAAAAATCACAAACAGAAGTAAGTTGGCACACAAAATATTTCATTTTTAATCTAAACAATATTCATGTAATACGTGTTTGATGTAACAAAAAAACTTAAATTTTGATTTTCTTCAATAGGATCGACTAGAAAAATCAAAGCAAAATGAAAATAAATTGGAGCATGAGAAACGTCATCTTTTGGATGAAATCGCTAGATATGAGGCTCGGAGCAAGAAACTTGATTTACAACGTATTGGTTTAGAGGGTGATATTCAACGTATGCAAATGACATTGCAAGAAAGGGAAAACAATTTGCGAAACTATCAAGAACGATTAGAGAATCAGCAGCGATCAGCAGCTCAAATTGAAGATAGGTATTTAGCCTTTAATTTTTGTCAAATAAAGGTCTATTTTAAAATATGAATAATATTTTTAAAAAAATCAATTGCAGGTGTGTTGCTTTAAAAACCTCTGTTGATCAGCTCAAAGAGCGTTTACAAAATGCGGCTATTCTTGAAACAGAGCTTCGTGGTGAATTGAACTGTTTGCAAAAAGAGCGATCGGAACAAGGTCATACATTGACTGCAACACAAGAGAAGATGAAGCATATGCAAAAAGTCTTGTCAAACTGTGAAAATGAACGTCGTATTTTGACTGATCGCTTGGATACCACACAGGCTACACTAAATGAACAACATCGTGGACAACAATCACAGCAGGATGTGATTCAGCGTTTACAAAATCAAGTGGCCGAACTAGAAGTGCAAAAATCAACCATTGAAGCTCAACTACGCATTGCTAAATGGAATCAAGGCAATAGCGACCCAGATAGTTGTGTTCATCATAATACGGACGATGTTTCTAGTCAACTATTGAAAGCGCAACGTGAAAAGAATGAACTTCGTCTGAAAGTTGAAATGTTAAATGAAAAGTTGCGTCATGCTGAAAGCAATAAATTAAGCAAATTTTCAGAGAATCGCGCATATGACTGTCCAGAAAAGGTCAATTTGAGCAACTTTGAATATGATTCGAATAAATTTGAAGATGTCTGTCAAAAGGAATGCAATAGTTCTGAACATATTAGTTGGAGACAAGAAAATCATGATCTAAAAATTAAAATTCGACGATTGGAAACATTGCTAGCCGAAAAAGATGCAGAATTAATGCGATTGAAAACGAAACTTATCGAGAGTTCGAAATGCCCGATGGATGACATTGAAAGGCATCGAGCAGCACAATTGAAATCAGAACGTCTATTGGACATTCGTGAACAGCATCATCGACAGCAAATTTCGCAATTGGAAAATCAAGTAAGGCTTTATAAGATAACAATGTGTGAAGTATAAGACTTACCGTACGTTTATACTATGAACCAAGAAAAACCAATAGTCATGTCGTAATCTGTAAATCGCCACCGTTCATGTATGCGACAGGTTTTATGCTTCGCATACGACGAAAGTGAAAAATTGAGTCACAGTGTAATGGAGGACATCATATTCTTTTCACAGATTCTTTTGTTAAAAGAGCAACTGGCCCAAGAAGCAAAAAGACGGCAGCAATATATTTTGCGAAGTTCACGCGCTGGCCAAGAGATGAAACAATTGCGACAAACACTCGGTGATTCCCTTAGACACATCGCGCAAGATCCAATTGATCCTGATTTATTGGAGAATGAGACAAGAAGGTAATATTCTTTATAAATGTTAACAAACTATTTTTTACTGGCCATTATATTGAGATATTATTATATAAACACACTATTATAACTAATATTCATTAATTTCATTTTAGATTAGATAGTGCCGTTTCGCTGAGTCTTCCACAGACCACTGGTACCAGCCAACACTATGATATTGGTAGAAGTCCACGTGCACCATACTAAAATTATAACACTTCATTGAAAACACTGCCACAATAATAAATTTAATATACTAATGGTTTTCTAATACACGCACGATGACAATTCTTTCAAAAAAATAAAAGAAATAAAAATAAATATAGAGGTAAAATAAAAAATATGTTCACTCTACCTCGCCACTTTGTAATGAATCTCTTGGAATCCACCGACCCTGATCACCCTGAATTCTGGCCAGCTTACCGTAATTAAAATCTCTTAATATGGATCAATGTTTTCCAGGGGCTATCTTCGGCACACAATATTGATTTTGTACTTTAAATATAAAGGTGGTGCTTTGCTCTCAATTGGGTCAGAATAAAAAGCCGACTTGTACACAGAGTACATGAAATGGTACTTTTTTGTTAGAATTGATCGTGTTAATTATCAGAGTTCTCAACTCCGATCGAGCACCGCCCCCATATTTATACTATTGTATACAAAATTTTATCCGTACATTTTTGTATTCGATGCGGCCAATCCATTGTTTGCATTAAATTTAAAATAAATAATCTCACCAAGTTTGAAGAAATTTCAATACAAATTAGGGGTACCTCCCATACCAAATTTTCGACTTATGAACCGCCTTGAGCAAAAGTTCAACTTATTACTGCATAGATTTGAATTTTAGTGAAATTCTATTATATTAACTGTTACTAAATAATAATAATTAATTACTAATAATATTTTATTATTTCTTTGTCGAACATTTTTCGAGAGTCGAGCGCTATCCATATAAATACATTGTGACGTCACACATCTTACACAGAAACGACATCTTTGTAAAACAGGCTAACTACAATGTAAACGTATAGCGAGAGGAGAAGGGAGTAAATAAAAAGGGGAAACAGATACGTTTGATTTACATTGTGGTTAGTCGGTTATTAATAGATGGCGTTTAAATAGTGTGCCCTTATTGCGCTTGACTCTCGACATTTTTATGATCAATCATTTCAGCGCAAAGAACCAACATCACTTCAACGTGTGTGCACATATGTTGATAAAATAAACACGTATTTTATATTTAATTGTTGAAAGAAAGCAAAATTTGCACAAAATAAATTCCGTTTGTTGAAAAATACTGAATTCAGAATGTTATACCCATTTCATATCTGTTTCATAGATGGCGCGTTATATTTTATACATATACGTGTGTGTGTGTGTGTGTGTCTCTGTGTGTGTATTCTTTTGACAGCTTACGAGACTTTATTTACAACTTTATAAATAGATATATATATAAAGAGTTTATTTACTTGTTTACCAATAAAATTGGAATTGAACTATTATTGAATAACATGTTGATGTTTTTGAGAAAGGTACGATATCGAAATTTTCTTTTGAATACTTTTAAGAGAATCTTTTCAATTTTTTAAACAGCGTCGCACAGATAATGACAGTTCAGACCAGTATTTGGAATGGAAGAAAAAAACTGTGATAGCCAACCAAAAACCAACATTTGAACCTGAACTGACAATATTTGACAAATTGAATTCGGATTGTATGGATGAAATGCTAGATTGGTTGGATTTGGACAGTTTGTGTGCGTTAAGCAGAACTTGCAAAAGTTTACAAAAATTCACGAAAAATTATTTCCAATGGAAGTACATATCGCAAGAGTTTACAGTTGGCGATGAGTTTGTTTACAATCCAAAATACGTGAATTGTTTTGGTGATGATGTTCAAATCTTACGTTTCTTCGATTCATCTCTGGATGATTTCAAATTTGCTGGATCAAACATTAACTTATGCCTGCGTGAAATTGAGTTCAATCAAACTTACAAGCTAGAAAATTTGATCACCAAAAAGCACATCGATCATATGAAGGACGTTCTTGAAAATGTTAAGGTTCTAAGGGCCGTGGATTGTGACTTCTCCAAGGGATGCGCAAAATATCTACTTGATTGTTCTAAAAATGTTGAAAATTTTGCATTCAAAATTCACAAGAATGTCCAAAAATATAAAATTGAATTTCAACGTTATCCAAGTATGAAAAACATTGAAATTCATTTTGACTCAAAGGTCAAAGTAACTGAAGTAATGAATATGCTGAAAGAACAAATTGGACACGTTTTTTTAGATGAATTGGTTTTGCTTTTTTGTAAGGAGCACGATCCATCTATGGTTTTTACGGAATTAAATATGATGTATAACAAACAATTCTATAAACATTTATACTTGATGTTCAAAAAGAAATCAATGGTATCCGAGCACATTGATCAGATAGCCTCCGTAAAAGGTCTTAAAGGTTTAACGTTTTTATATACTATTAATATAAGTACAGATATACATTTGACCGATATCACTAAATTACAAAACATTAAATATTTGTATTTAAACTCATTACTGTGTAGAGTTGATCAAATTGCACAATCATTACACCAACTTGAAGAAATGGAAATATCAGTTACATCTATTACTGCAATCATTTCATTTGTTCGTTACTCAGCTAACTTAACAAAGCTTCACATTGTCCAGGTTCGCGCAAATAATGAACAGTTTAATTGGTCAATTTTGGAAAAACAGAGAATCATGCTTAAAAATGCAAAAAAATTAGTTATTTACATGCCCGAGAAAAAGTTTCTGGAACTTAAGTGGTCATCTCCTAAAGTGTCTAGCGTTTTAGTTGAGTTCAAAAGAGAAGAAAGCTATAGACCGAAAAATTTGACGTATCACATCAATTCCGTTAATTGATGTTATTGTTTACTGAACCTGAAAATAGTTATTTCAACGCATAGCCCAGTTCATAGATTTTTTTTAATGTTCTATCAAATATACTTTGAAGATATTTCATGGCAGTTTGTAAACAGGATTGTAATTTTGATGGGATTAAAATATTATCCTTTCGGATTTATTTAATAAAAAATCCAAATGGATTAAAATGAAATAAGAAGGTGCTCGAAAGATTTTTTGTATTTATTTTTTTAATGTAAAATACAGTAGTTTTGTAAAACAATTAAATTGTATAATTGTTTGAATATTCAAAGAACAATCATTCTGGTGGGACACTGTTTCATATTGTATATTGTATTGACAATACACTTTGGTTGCTTGAGAATTGACCGAGAACGAATTTGAAATCATAAGTAAACGGTATGAAATGCAGCACCGAATTCTTCAATAAACGAATTAATGGTGGATCTTGCAGCGAATAACCGACAACAACATGTCGTGCCAAATTCACAGCCATTTCACGGCACACATGCGCGCTGGGGGGTTTTCCGGTTTGACCCCCACCTGAGGCAAATTTTTCAAAATTTACCCCCGTTTAAATTTTTAGGAGATTTACCGGTTTGACCCCCTCTGAGAATTTTTTTTTCTCAGATTTGCAATATAAATGTATAAATAAACTGACTTTGAAGTCAAACTTGCAAAATTTCGCCTCGCTTCGCTCGCCAACACACATTTTTGCTTGTTTCTCTCATGCAAAATTTGTATTTTAGTTTTCCATATAAATACCCCTTTCCCCCCCCTCGGGACCAAAGTCAATTTGACTCCCCCCTGATCAAAAAACCGTGCGCATGTGGCCAAGTCACGGCCTTACATCTGCTGTAAGGGTTAAAGATGGAAAGTCAATCGATATCTCGTTTTCATTTGCTTCAAAGTTGGCAATTGTCCCGAACTTTCGCTCAATTTCAGCAAAGGTTTGGTTTATTTGATCATCGGTGTGATATCTAGAATAGAAATGTTATTAAATATATATGAGGAATGATATCAAGCATTTATATTCGATGCTATATTGCTTTCTATTTACCTCGCCTGTATGACATTGTGAAGAATTCGATAATCGTACGCGGACGACCAATGTTGCGGGTCGTCATGCATTAGACTGATATCGTATCTCAATATTTTATCCTGTTCAGTAATTGTAATGTTCAGGTGTGAGATTCAAAACCTTCCGCTTCGAATGTTATATTGTATCGTCCCGATAGTAATAATCTCCAAAATTCGCCCGTCTTCCACGTATAAGTGACATGAGTGTTATTTTGAATCGTGATTGGGGCATTTTAAATTGATTTCCGATCGAACTTCGAACATATCCAAATACACCGCGATGAACTTCTTCGATATATTTAATCAATACTTCGTGCTTTTCATCTCAGTATTTTGGTGGACTTCTTTCCATCTTCCAGTGTAATTTCAAATACGCCATGGCTGCAGCAAATACATAATTCCTACAAAAGAAAGAAATTAAAATGAAATGTATCATTATTCCGAATTACAACAGCAATGCATTCCATTTTGATTTTTTGAGGTAAAACGTAACTGAACGCGAACTGAAATTTTGTCATTTTTTGCAACATAAACACATTTATTTACTCCTCATTTTATAACAAAATAAAACATCTTAATGTGTTTACATGCATTCGACAACGAATATTTTTGAAGAAAGTTTATTTTTGGACTGGTTTAATGTGAAGTTAGTTATGTGTTGTTTGTTGTTGTGCAATGTATTTGTGAACCGTGCGAAGTCTATACACAACACACGCAAGAGTTTAATGATAAATACAATCATTTGTATACTTCACACGCTCTATCCATTTGAATCTGGTACATTACACGGAAAGAATGCAAAATGACAAATGTGAACGTTTGAAGGCAAATATAATACACACAAATGCACACCAACACACTCATACCATCTCTTTCTTCATTCACCAAGGCATACGATTCATAACAGCGATTTGATGGTATTGGTACGATGTGTATGTAATGGAGACGACTCAGAATTTTTTTTAAATGGTAGTCATAATGTCAGCTACTGCGAAACAATTGAATGTGAAGACAGCTTTGTCATCGTCGTAGAATTTTGGTGATTTGAAATAATCCTGCATGGGGCGGAAATGAATGAGACGAAATTTTCTCTCTCATGGGCGCAGCCATATTGAAAATTTTGTATGCGCTTATATGTAAAATTGGTGGCGCCACTGGTATATTTGATGGAAAAAGAAGAACATGTTTGAGTCTCACTCGTTTATATGTAAATTACATAGGCATTTCCAGGCCATGTAATCCTGAGTATATAGTCTATAAAAAATTAAATAAAATGTCAGAAAATGATTCCGACTCAGGTATTTTTTTAAAAAGAAAACAAGAAAACCAACAAAGAATACAACAAAAACACAGAAAATTTCATTTAACTCGCCCGAAAACTTTGTTTCCAACGTCTCCAGAAAAAATAATCGCCGATTTGAACCGTGGACTCGCCGATTTTGCTGGAAAAAGGGCCGAAGGGCTTTGGTAAGTCATTTTTCTAATAAGTTACCTAATCAAATTACATGAATTAACGTCATAAATATAAATTTGCATATATTGGTTGACTGGTGTGTATGAAACAAAAATTGTGTGATAGTACCCTATTAAAAAATTCGATTTTTTTATAGTGCGGAGGATAATTCCAAAAAAAATTTGTCACTACTGAATTATAATTCGAGCCAGGTACAAAACGTAATCACAAGTCTCGAAAATATAAAACTTAAAATTGGTAGATGGAAATTATTCTTATCTGTAACACCTCAACAACAATCTCAACAACAATCTCAACAAAAACCTTCACCACAAACTCAACAACAACAAGGCCCAAGTAAAACGGATTCTCCATCAGCTTCATCAGCTTCGTCAGCTTCAACATCTGGTACAAGAAAGAAATATGGCAATTGTGTTCCAACATTTGTTAAAGCAGTGTACTCATATATGATGTAAGTGACTTTTGTTACCATAATATGTGTTAATATATCACTGATCTCATGTTACTGATTCCTTTTTAAAGTTCGCATCAACTCGATGTGGATTTTGCGCAAAAGATGGACAATTTTTTGGATGTTATAGAAAGGCAAATTCAATGTTACAAGCTGCTTAAAAACGACATTGATGAGGACGCTACAAAAATGTCAGGTAAGTTTCCAGTAATTATTGTCAATGCATGTACCGTTTATTGGTATCATTCCGTTTATGCACATGAATTACTGGGGCTACAAATTGTTAGACAAATTATTCTCAGTTGAAAATTCAAAACTCTTCGCCTCGCTTAACATTCTAACACGGCGTTTAATGTCAAATCAATTTTACAAAATCAATCTTTACAAAATATTAATACCGTTTCGTATCTTTACATGTTTCGCAAATTGACCAAACACAGCTGCCCTAAATGTTCAAGATGCAAATTCACAGTTGGATAATTCAAGCGCACAAAATATTTCATCACACTCACAACAGCAACAACAACAACAACAAACTTTGCCGTATCATCCTGGATCATCCGGCCAATATAAATATTAACACTGTACATCGCATACACAGAGATACTAAGAGACTGAAAGGATAAACATACTAAACCAATTCAATGATCATGTCAAAATATTAAATGCTTGTTGATAAAATTTGTAGATGCATTTCATCGAAACATCTGTGCGCTGAGGAAAAACCGTGATTTTTTTGCATATTTCAAGCTAACTCATCCAGAGGACTTATAGTGTATATTTTTGAAGTTATTTGAATGAAATTGTATAAATTGAAATAGAAGTTCAAAAAAGAATCAAGAATTGGAAATAAATAGTTTTGAACGTTGTTAAATTGGATTATTTCGATTTGTTTGCATCATTTTCTTTAATTTTAATTATTTGATATAAGTAAAAAAAAATCATTGACCTAATTTTTATTTATTTGATTACAACAAACATACTTGAAGCAATTTATTGGCAAGAATCACATACCAAACATTTTGTAAACAATGCGGAATTTCATGCAGAAATTTTAATCGAAGAATCTTTGAGCAAAGAAAAAATATATTCCAGAAAATCAAACATGCAGCTCGCTTTATTAATTGATGTGTTTTCTATCCGCGAATAATAGTGCAGATTTCGCGAAGTGGGTGGCTGTAATGACAGACGTAAAATTATTTGTTTAGTGTATGTCTAGCTGCATGGTTCAATATAGTTTTCTGACATAAAGCAAAAAAAAAAGTTACTTGTTAGAGTGGCTCTTGGTCTAAAATAGTTATTTCGTCACATGATAAATAATTTCCCATTGCGATGACACAGAACAAAATAAAGAGGCTTACGTACGCAAGCTGACTTTTCCGCATGGAACCGAAATTTTGGGAATAAACTGAAATCATGGTCTTTGTATGGTTGCAGTAACTTAAATTACCGTGAAAACTTGTGAATATTATTTTCTTATCAAAATAAATAATCACACCAAGTTTAAAGAAATTTCAATCCAAAAATAGCCTGTTCAAAGTTTCAGATCATTACGGTACCACAAAGGCAAGTCTTTCATACAAAAATGAAACTTTTTGTGGATTTTTGTATGAAAAGTGTGTGAAAAACTGATTGCATCTTAAAACTAACATCAGATTCGGGTTTCTCGTGCCAAAAAACCCCCCACTACACATTCATTCAACGTTCAAATTGAAAGAATATCATTTTAAGGCATTTTTCTCATGAGTGCCTCTTCAGAGTCTAAGTTTTACACCGATCAATCAATGTCGTTGAAAATTTGACCAGATCTATTCCTCGTAGTGCCCAATCACTTCGTGAGGTCACATTTTGAATTTCATGTCCGAGCACGAAACTATCGTGTCACTAAAATGGTTGAGAAATTATCAAAAAATGTATGGATGTGGGATGTGGGTACTCCATTCGGACCAAAAAAAATTACACCGGTCAACAGATATTGCTCAAAAACTAATCAGCACGTCTCCTAGTAGTCCCAAATCATCCTGCAAAGTCAGAATTTGAATTGAGTTTTTGGAAGTAGATTTATCGAGTTAACAAATTTTGGCAACACGCCACAGGACACAGGACACATCACACACAGCGACGCACATTAATATGCCCCAAAATCATCTCCAATCGTGTTTTCTACATTAAATATGCATAGAAAACATGTTTTGGGATGACTTTAATTTTTTGGCCTAATACAATACCTTCCCTACAATAGGTGTGCGGAAAAGTAAAAGGGACGAATAAAAGCAGCAAAATCGATAGATTTTCTTATTAGTATGAGATTAATACAGATAAAACGTACTCTCATTCAATAAATATAGAAGTTGTCCGTTGCTCAGAAACTACTTGCACAAGCTGCAATTTGATAAGTGAGAGAGAGAAAATTTCTATTATATTTGAAAATTCCTGATATACTTAATTTTTTCTGTAATACTTGGAGCAAGTATAATAATGGATATATAAATAATAGTATACATTTGTAGTGTATAAAAACCATTCTTTTAATTAAAAAAATATATTAACGCATGTACCAACGCAATAAAAATGTTTACTCTTTCATGAGAATTGAAATGTATTTCTTTTTCGACTTTTCTGACGAAATATAAGTAAATTAATGTTGATGATTATTATTTTGTAAACATAAATTTAAACGTAGTACAGTCGAACTACTGATTTTGTTATCAATGCATCGCCATCATAGAAAGTTGTATCAATTGTGACATTCCCACTGAAATAAAATAAGGACGAATTCAATTACATTACACATATTCAAATAAACATAATATAGACGTACTTCAGTACTTTGGCTGGCATCATTTGAGATTCTGGCGCTGCTTCGATTGTTGATTGCCATGTGTTTGTTGTATTCTGACTTACCTGGGGAAGAATCACAAAAGTATAGGATCGAAAAATAATCAAAAGAATCAATATGAATTATTAAATAATAGAAAATCAATTTCTATGTGAATTGCTCGTTTTTACCCAAATCACGTATTGCTTCGAACTTACCCAACCTTTGGAAATAATTACAAATGAAAATTAATCACAAAGATATGAACTTTTAAGTGATTTTCTCATCAAAACCTACCCATTTCGAATTGCCATTCTTCCATTATACGTCCTTTGAACAAAATCTGAGTATATAAAAAAAATCATGATCATTGAAATTTGGAAAATAAAAATAAGAAAAAAAATATCAATTCAATGATATTCATTAATTTTGTGAATAATAAATACTAGACTACTCCAATATAAATAATAAATCATAAAAAAAATTTCATTTTACTTACCTTTTGATCGAGACGAAAATTTTCGATAGATTCAACGGTACTAAAGTTTATTTCACGTGAAACAGCGCGTAAATCAAGGATTTTTGTTGGTATTCGTGCATTGTGCTCCTTTCCTGATGAAGCCAAATCTTTATTCTCTTGCCAAATTACAGAGCCCGTATCAGCGTCGCGTAGAATCATCCAGTTGCTATAAGAGTATATGTTATTTTTTTATATTTACTTTTAAAAACAATTCAAAGAACGCTTACATTTGAAATCCGTTTTGAATTTTTTCTGTTCTACTCTCTTCCGTTGTGCTCATTTTGACTATTGTAGCAAATATGAAAACGATTTTTTTTTTGTATATCAACAAATCACAACGCATTTACTTTACTATGCTCAACTAGTTGTCTTTTTTGGTATGGTTCAACTGTATAAGGCAAATTCAATGATTTTTATAGATGTAAAAAGGGTATATCATTTGAATACTATTGAATTTATTGAAATTACGATTGTAATTCAACACTCACACAAAATAATTAACGTTAATTTTATGTTTGAAGGCTAGTTTATTTCATTCTCGTTTTTGCATATTGTAAAATTGTGTGGTTTCGGTACGGTTGCTTTGTTGTGTGTATTTATTGTTGTTTCATTTTGACAGTTGTACTGTAATGAGCGCCCCCTTCACACAAAGAATTTAGTACATTTACCGGTAATTACTACGATTCGAAAAGCGAGAAATGATTGCAAAAAAAACAAATGGAAAAAGAGAATTCTATATAAACCTCTGAGAGCATACCAAAAAAAAATCAAATCAAATTAAACTTTGTTTTTATTTTTACAACTTAAAATTTAATCATTTCATTCTATTTGAAACATATTTTTTCTGTACTCAACACTTTAGGAGTTTTTAAACTTAATATAAATTCTTTTACCAACAAAAAAATTAACATTTCATTTGAATTGGCATTCATGTTTTTTTATTGTTTATTTTAAGAGCTTAATAATATTACGATGCAAATTAAAACTAACATAATTCTAGCAAAAATGGAAAAAGAAGACGTTTGTTCCATGCGTTGCAAGGAAAAAAATCAAATTCGTAGCGGTTTCTACAATGTAATCTCGTTTCTCATTCGAAATAGAAAAACGATACCTTCTGCATTTTCATAATGTGTTTTTGCTGACAGATTTAGACGTATTTAATTTTCTTCAGCATCTGCAAATCGTTCATCGTCTGTCGATATGAAATAAATGTTCGATCAAATTCGAATTTCAAGATTATAAATATATTATTGAAAAAAGGAGTTACCATCAATATGTAAATTTTGTAAATCATCTTCGGCATGATTATTTTCTTCGGCCATTATGAACTCTTCATCTTCTTCCTCGGAAAAACTGTCTACATATTACACAAACAACGAAAAAATATTCAAAAACAAAATACACGTATATAATATTTAATTTAAACCAACCATTTGGATCGGGATGCAAGCTTTGACAATGTTTCATTGCTTCGAAAATTTCTTCGATTCGATTTTCATCGTGTGGCGTGTACCAAATCTCAGTCATGGGTGGCTCTTCATCTGTAAAAGTTTTAAAAATATTTGTTTGTCATTTTTGTTCAGATTTTTTTTTTACTTGAGAAAAAAACAAAATCTACCACCTTCACAAGTTCCTTCATCATCATCATCCTCTTCGATATCACCGTCTTGAGCCATACGTTCGTCATGACCATTGCCCTGTGAGCGCGGATAGTCAATGTGAACATCCAACATGATATAAATACATTTGACATTTGGTTCATTTGAAATTGCATGCAATGTGATACTCTCCCACGCTATTGAAATGCCTTCTTCACGGCCCGTTTCTTGCCAACGTAAATAGCTATAGAACAAAAGTTATATACAAAATATTTATGTCTCTTCAAAATTAAACAAAACGAGCTAAAAGAAAGTTACACTCACTTTTCTGTAATGTACAGCGTTCCGACATTCATTTGTGTTTGGTTGATTTTCATTTCAACATTATCCAATTTCTTTACCAATCCCTCTTCGGGTTCAACCAATGGCCCGATAATTACCATATTTAACGCTTTTTTATTCTTTCAACGCTTATTTTAAATTCTTTATATGTTTACTGAAACTTTTGAGCTCCACTTATCCAATAGACTGCGTCTGAATCATAAACAATAGCTATATTAAAATGTGAGGTTAGTTAGTTCATATAATATGTAAATTATACATTTCACATACCATTCATCTGTGTTCAGATACAGTCGATAAAGCAGTTACATTAAATTTATGGCGACAATAAAAATTGTTTTTATGGATAAAATCAAGTTTTTTTTACATAAAAATATATACATTTTACATTAAAATTGGAACCAATGAGTTTTCAATTTTTTATATATATTTTTAAAGTCAATTCGCCATTTGGCGTTCAAAAGGCTTTATCCTATAACTATCATTTTTGTTATCGGCCTTTTTCGTTAATTGTCATGAAAGCGTACCAACATAAAACATGTGTTGATGATAGCAAGAGTGCCGACATTTATTTGAAAACACGTGCGAAGCACACAAGCATTGTATCATTCAAACGAGGAGCACTACGTTTATCAAGTGAAATTTTTTAAGGTTTTTTTCTAATATATTCAAAATAAATAAACAAAACAATTTTTTGATTGAATTGAAAAACTTGTTTTGAATAGTTCCCAAAAGTTGTTTATTGTGTAAAACTTTAATTTGAAAGAAAGAAAAATGGGCAAACCAGGTGAGTTTAAACATTTTAGTTAAACATGTTGGCGTATCCATTACAATTCAATGGTTTGAATTTAAATCAAGTGCTGAGTAAATGTTTAACTTTCAGTTTAATAATTGATCTAAAAAAATGTGTTTGTTTATTTTCAATAGGTTTCGTAGGTGGACGTGGTGGTGGCGGTGGACGTGGTGGTTTCGGTGGACGTGGTGGCGGCGGTAGCCGCGGTGGTGGTAGTGGTGGACGTGGAGGTGGTGGTTTCAGAGGAGGTCGTGGAGCAGGCGGTGGTCGTGGTGCACCACGAGGTGCTGGTGGTTTCAGAGGAGGTCGTGGAGCAGGCGGTGGTCGTGGAGCACCACGAGGTGGTAAAGGAGGCGGCTTCAAAGGAGGTAATTATCACTGATAATTTATCAATAAAAAATTCAGTCGAACACATGTTGTTGAATAAAATATGTTTATTTTTTTAAAATGTACTTTTGGTTTTCAGGTAAAACTGTCGTCATTGAGCCACATCGTCACGAGGGCGTGTTTATTGCTCGTGGCAAAGAAGATGCCTTAGTTACACGCAATTTAGTTCCCGGTTCCGAAGTGTATGGCGAAAAACGTATCTCAGTCGAAGTAAGTTCTTTTCTTTTTCGAATTCTTATACAAAACGAAACGCATAGGCAAGATAAACTTTCTAGTTTTGTAATGATGATTTGTGCAGGGGTACGGAAGCGACAATATGTAGTCGTAAAATATTAAAACTGTTGGCATATATACGCCCGAGGCGTTGGTGTGTCTATCTGTTTTGATATTTAATAAATGCACTAACTGATTTATGTACGGATTATTATTCAATATTTATGTGTGTATGTATGTATGTATTTATATATTTGTTTCTCATTTTATTTCAGACAAATGGTGAAAAAATTGAATACAGAGTATGGAATCCATTCCGTTCAAAATTGGCTGCAGCTATTTTAGGTGGTGTTGATAAAATTCATATGCCACCTGGTTCAAAAGTATTGTATTTAGGTGCCGCGTCTGGAACAACAGTGTCACATGTGTCAGATGTAGTTGGTCCCGAAGGATTAGTATATGCTGTTGAATTTTCACATCGGTCTGGGCGAGATTTGATAAATGTTGCTAAAAAGCGTACAAATATTATACCAATCATTGAAGATGCACGTCATCCGCACAAATACCGAATGCTTGTCGGTATGGTTGATTGTGTGTTTGCTGATGTTGCACAGCCAGATCAGGCTCGTATTGTTGCATTAAACTCACAATACTTTTTGAAAAATGGTGGACATTTTGTTATCTCAATAAAAGCATCATGTATTGATTCAACCGCACAACCAGAAGCTGTTTTTGCCGCCGAAGTGAAAAAATTACAAGCTGACAAATTGAAACCACAGGAACAAATTACACTTGAACCGTACGAACGAGACCATGCTGTTGTCGTTGGTGTATTCAGACCACCGCCAAAGAATTCTAGTTAAACAATCCTCACCCTCAAGTTTTTTAGGACTTGTCATCAGAGTTTTTTTTATTTTAAGTCAGTTTCCAAATTGATTAATCCGTTTAAAAATATAGTTATCAAAAACAAATGCAAAACATTAATGCGTGATGACATTAAAGGACATTTTTGATCTATAACGTCGCATAGATTTTTCTTTTTCGTATTGACACATGGGTTGCATTGTTTCTTTTTCACACAAGAATTAGATATTTAAGATAGAAAAAATGTAATGCATTTTTTTGAAATAAAGAAAAAAAAACATTATGAAAAAACATTTTTTATAGTTTTCAAATTCTTTGATTATTATTGATTTTTTTTCTTTAAACGCTTGTTTCGTACATAATTTAATTTATTTTGGCCTCCCATTCCTCTGGCGTAATTGGAGTGTGCAACTGTAAGAAATGCGAAAAGATTTTTTGGTACGATTTAGTTCTCTTTGGTACGATTTAGTTCTCTCCCTTAAAAACCACTTAACTTAAACTTACCACTTTGGCAAAATCATTCCAAACGAAGCATTGTTTCAATTTATCGTTATCCGATGGTTGTTTATCATAGTTCCAATATGCGAAATCATTGAAAATACCGAATGCTCGAAATGTACGATCGGTATTTTCGTCGAGTGGTTTCTCACTTTCCTGGAAAATTATACCACAGTGCGAATCAGGCACTTGAAATTTACATCCATTTAATGGAAAGCCACGCAATGAATTTTTTAGAACTGTTTTAAACAAAATAACATGTTATTAATAAAAGAAAATAGTCAATTTTTAAAATGAATTCAAGTGACTGTGGTATTAAAAATGGTACTTACATCCATCAACAGTAGTAGTATAGATGTTGAAAAACTGATCAACATTAGCTTTCGTTGTATTTTCAATACTTGCTGGAATGAATTGTAAATTTATTTGTTCCTCTTTAAGCTGATCAAAGACAGTCTGATCTAATTTCAATTGAATGGACATTTTTTATATTTAAATATCCAACTTTTTATTTAAAAAAATGAAAAAATAAGAATAAGATATCCCACAGAAATGAAATATAAACAAATGAAAATGGGAAAAATGAGCGCGTAAATGACAGTTATCGATGTCATCTTTGACATTTCGTTAGTATTTTATGCCATTTGCGCTCATAATAACACAACCTCAAATTTTGTGTATTTTATTGGAATTAATTTTTTTGTATGAAATTGATACGAAATAACATTTCAAATTTTTTATTGGTCATTTGATGAGAAAAAGAAACAACTGTTCTTACATTGAAACTCATTTCACTTCGTTCACAAAAATAAAATGGAACTTTTAAAAACAGAACAAAAAAAATCTGAATTACAATGAGTGTTAATCTTTTGTTCTTTTTAAAATGAATGCAAATTAATGAACAACTTATTAAACAATTTGTACGCCATTTTGAGCGCAGTATTTCTGCAGGGCTTGTTGATGATCGGCGGGCAATGCGGAAATCAATGTTGGAATATCACCAGGTCGTGATGTCGATAATTTGGCTAGATTATCGGCCAAAAATTTGCGATTATCTTGAACTTCTGGTATTGGATCGATAACTTTTAATTTGGCATAGCTAAGCTGTGAATAGGCCGCTTGATATCCAACACTTTCAATTTCTACAAAATCATCACCTTCCAGTGCCGTCTGATCCGGTGGCATTTCGTACGATGTGATCAATGCTTGCAACAATTGCGACCAATAATTACGATACGGTGGTACTAACAATGCTGGACATTCGCATAGTATTTTCGTTACACCAATTGCAGCAATTTTCTTATCCAGGTCGCCAGCAACTCGGGTCAAATCCGTGATCAATACACGCTCAATTACCATCCCAAACATTCTATTGAATTTGGAGAAGAGTAAACCGAAATATAAGAAATGTGTTAATAAAAAAATTGTACTTCCATAAACTTACTGTGCCTGAATCTTATCAATTATTTCAACCAATTGGGTGGCACCAAATTTAGCGGCATAAAAGCACAAGAAACCAATAAATCCTTTTACATATTTCGCCGTCTTTGAAAGTGTTAAACGTTGGAAAAGCAAACCAAATATCTGACGAATATTCTCTTGCAATTCATTGCTGTTAAAAAATAATGTTATTTTATTGAATTTTTATTCCAGAACCAGTAAATTTTACTTTAAAAAACTTACATTGGATAAAATTGTAGTAGATTTTGTATCAAGAAGAACCCCTCATGATCATTAGCCTTTGAAGCGATCATTTTCTGGAATACACCCAATATTGCATTCTGTAATTGAAAGGAAAATCGATTTGAAAAATCAGAAAATTCAATATAATTAAATCAAATTGATACAAAATTTAAAACGTACCAATTTTTGCAATGCGGCAACTTGTGGTGATCCTTGTCGAATGAAAGCGCAAATTAATTTGATCAATGGTGTTACATTACCAGGCCGATCCCAGAGTGTTGGCGATAATAAACATGGAAACAATGCCCAATAAGATTCAGGTATAGAGCTGGTTGTTTCACGTACTTCCAAAAGCAAAGCCAACATTTGAAAAACATATGGCATAAATTCCAAAATATCCTGTTGCAAAATATTTTGGAAAATTGGGAACAGGGCTTCTTCGAATTGAAGAACTGCCGCTGGTTCAGCAGTACAAGCAATTTTAATGGCCAATGCTAACGTTTCGAAAAGATAATGATTAAAATGTGGTCGTGATGGGTTTTTCGAAACCGTTTCCAAAATTTGAATGAGTCGCGGTAAAATGGCGCTCATAAATGGCATACTAGCTTGTTGTAACGTAGCTAAGCTACGCATTATTGCTTTCATCACATATTCATTTTCAACAGCTTGTACACCGCTGCCTAGTACCGCAAATAAACCATTCAACAAATCACCGGCAATCGGTTGTAATTGTGCTACAGTAACCTGTAATAGATTTTCGGAATTCCGCATCGTAAGCACTTTCTCAATTGTACATGCCGCATAACTGAACACCACTTGACTTTCTGATGCTAAATGCCGTACCAAATGTGGCATACATGCAACCATCGTTGGTGCACCCAACAATGTTCGGAATGTCATGACGAATTTTATTGCGTCGGCCTTTAGTACGGGTAATTCATTGACATTTGGTCGATCCAATTCAGGTATGATTTGTTGTTCACAAAATTGTGGCAGTGGAACCAACTGTGATGCTTGTGTCACACCATGCTTTTGTGTACTGCCACGCGATGCCAACGATGTTACCAAAAATATAGCCGTATCTTTAGCTCGCCAATTTTGTGCTGGATTTTCAGAATATTTTACCAGCAGCACTTGTAAGTACTGCCCGAAAATCTCAAAAATTTTCTCTTCAAAGTTTTGTGACAACGTTTTCACTAAATCACATGCGGCTCGACGGCGTGTATCTATGTCCGAACCTTCAATATCACGACGAATATATTCCTCCGGATTGTCTTCGAATAATTCCTCATCGGATGCTGAAAATTTGAGAAAAAAAATTATGAGCTTTAAATACTTTGGTTTGTTGGGTTTTTTTTGATTTAAAATGTGTGCAATTATTAATTTGATTTTCTCATATTAAAAAAGTGTGAGTTGAATAAGGCGACTGAGTTGATGATCGTGGGTCAATCTGACCTAGCTTCTGACTATATCTATAACTATTCTGTATAAAAGCGAGAGCAGGGTTGATTCTAGTAACTTGATTCAAGATCTTAAAGCGGCGTATATGAAAGTGTTCCAATGATATCTGGCGTGTCCCAGTGGAAGAATAGAAACAGAAATGAGAATATGTTTAAAAGTCGAAATTGAGAAGGTTCGGTTATGTGAATGAGTATTAAGTCACAATTGAATCGTTGCGGCGAAACAGTAGCTCTTATTTTTCTCCAAATAATACTGCAACATGAAGTTTTTTTCACACGGTTTATTTGTTGTAATACAACAAATAAACTATTCATAAAAAACTTTATGTTGCAGTATTATTTGGAGAAAAATAAGAGCTACTCTTTCGCCGCAACGATTCAATTGTATGAGTTTATTTTGCATATAGAAGCGAATGGTTCTAGAGGTAGAAGTGGGTTGATCTACCTGAAGACGTTATTTGAATGCAGTCAAGTGTGATTTGCGTGAAAGAAAGTATGATTGGAATACTAATACTCAAAACCTGGCTCTCAGCAAAGTGTTTTGGGAGGGGTGTATTGTTATAGGAAAAGTTGGCATATCATATTAAAACAGACCACAAGGCAGTAATGGTCTCTAAATGTTTGTTGTTGTCGTTGTTTTGTTCCCATACTAAAAATAAATATTACCTCTGAAATCCATGTTTGGAATGATAACTTTTTCACAAATACTAGCCAGTACTTTGGGATTTTCGAACAGTGATTTATAATGGTTTCGTGTTGCTACTGTTGACAAAAACTGTAGTGCATTCGAAACTAACTGAAAATCAAAAACCAAATGCATAATTATAAAATTATTTGGTTTTTTCCAATATCAATTCCTTACCGCATCGTATTTTGTTTGGATGCCCGTTTTAACCAATAGTTCCCATACGTCTGTTACGAATTGTTGCATATATGTTCCAAATTCTTCGTCATATTTTTGTGCATAGAGCCCAATGTTGAAGCATATCTGTGATCTCAACTGCTCCAATACACCAGCCTCTTCATCTTCCTGTACGAAAGTTGTCCACAAAAAAGCGTCTCTTATATTTAGCAGTGAAATTAATAATTCGTGCCTGTGAGAATTGCTTCATAGGGATTCTTTCTTTAATCGTAGCCCTAGTCACAAGTCCACATTATTCGGTTCAAAATATATAAATATTTAAAAAAAACTTACGCCAGTATGTAAACAAGGTATGTCAGTTATGAGTAATTCGTGAAATGCTTTCATCCAAGTTTCCATGTTGTCTTCAAAGAATTCGGGCAAGTCTTGGGCATTCAATGAATAAAATACTTTTGTGACCAGAACAATTGAACCGTACAATACACGCAATGCTGATTCATTGTTCTCATGTGTTTTGGCCAAATTTATAGTGGCAATCAATAATTCCGTTAATGGTTTTGCAAATTTATCCAGCACAAATTTTATTTCTTCCCATAGTTTTTGTGACTTGAATTCGTAGCGATACCGCTTAAAGATGGAATGAGCCGTTTGTAGTACACCATTGATAATGTGAAAATCGCCACTGTTAAATTTTTCAACCATTTCGTCGATAAGTTGAGGCCATTTTTCTGGAAAATCATATTTCCCAATGATACTAACTGCATCACTCAATTGTTTTTGTATTGCCGGCGATGATTTTAACATGAGCGTCACAATATGTGTTTTGATTGCCGCACGATCTATTTCGTGAATTCGATTTGGTCCATCATTATCCTAATTTAAAAAAAAAAATAATGAAAAATGAAAACAATGACAAATAACAAAAAAAAACTCATCCATGGAACAAATCTTTAATATCAGGAACATTTTGGAAGCACAAAAGTACATACATGATTCATTAACATCAAATTATATAAAAAACTGCGCAACTTACCGCATGTGCATTCCAATTGCGTTTGACAAAGTTTTTAAATGCAATTGATCCAGCTACACGTATCGTCATATCAACATCCTCTTTGCCTACCAAATTTAGCAACAAAATGGCAAAATTTTGATTTGCTTCGACACTTTCTAGAAATTTTTCCGCTAAATCCATCAGAAAACGAAGAAGAAAAAAACAAATTTAAAATTTTGCAATTGATTTTTATAATGTATCGATGCACAAAATGTAATTCAAATTTAATTACCTGGTCGGCGAACATTTGGATCGGGATTGAGTGTTTGTTGCAAATATTGTGCCAACAATTTAAAATTTTCTTCATTGATCTCCATATTGTAGTTAATTTTTTATTTCTTGATAAGAATAAAAAGAACCAACAATAAGTCTCTTGACTGTGTCCTTCTAATAATTTAATATTTTACTCTATCTTTATTTATCAATGGAAATCAAATAGTTTTAGTCTTTAAAAGCAGCAAAGTTAAAATTGAATTTACAATTATAACAAATCAATGTATGACGAAAATTCTACTTAATCAGGCGCGGGGCCGGTATGTGTGTATGACAAGTTGAGATGCTGTTGCTTTTTTTTTTGGAAAATTCTGTGTTTATTGACACTTGGTATATGTATGTATGTGAGCAATACAAGTAATTGTGCGTCTGTAATTAATTTGGCGTGCTTCGTTCGAACGACTAAATCTAGTTAGCTCTGTATACATACCTAATACATACACATGTGTAATCGATATTTTTATTCTAGGATGAAGTTAGTCGAATTTGCCAAATGTAATTTCAAATATTTGAACGTTTATTTTTATTATATCATAAAATGAAAATATTATATTATATTTTTTTATTCAAATTTATGATTTTTTTTCTTAAAACCAATGTTATCTGAAAGAACAACAATCAAAAATCACAGTCAATATGTAAATGATACGCTCTGGATAAAACATTTTTCCCTCCAAATATACTTAACCTCAATCAAATGTAAAACGTTTGCGATGTCATCACTATTTTTGACATATTGGCCATTCTTGATTTTATACAATATTAATATATCGTGTGATTAATATGAGTTATTCTGCTGTTATTTTGATTTGTTTTCATTTTTCACATTGAGCACTACAATATTTTCACATATATAAGTTCATATTAGAAAAAAATTAGAAATCGGTTGATTTCAATTTCTTCAAGTACTTTCTTTCTACTCGTGGTTTTCGAAGTTTGTAGTCACAATTTTATTTAAAAAAAATTAGCTAAAAAAGAACGATTTTTTTGTTGTTGAAAGCCGTGCGCTGACAACGGTAAATATAAAATTTAAGTGTTAAGAGATCTAATTTTTCTTTTGCTTAGAAGAAGACGAAGAAGAGAAATTGTGTGAGTTTATGTGCGTATATTTTGAATATTGTTAAATTGCGGAAAAACGCAAAGCAAAACAAATAGAAAATATGGCAGATAAATATGATTTATCAAAATTTCGATTGGAACGCATTTTGAATAAGAACAGCAAAACAAAAACCATCTGTGTCTTGGGCACATTTCCGTCCGAATTAGCGGCTGACACAAGGTATCCAGCTATTGTTGTACTTGAAAAAACTGCGTTCACTGACTATAATGTTAACACGGCAACCAATGATGATCGTGATGATGATGATGATGGAAACCAATGCAAATCATACTTTAGTCATGAGACGAAATTAAAAGAAGAGTTTTTAAACGATATTTATGGAAATTTTCTGTGCTTTCCAAAACCAGATATTAATAGTAATTTTCATCATCTCTTTTATTCTATTCCCATTTGTAATTTTTGTTAATGTTGTTTTTCGTTTTCGCTTGACATCATACATTTGACTGTTGTTCTCTAAAGCTTTGGATTGTTAAGATGATCTAATGTGTTGTTGTTTTTTTCTACTTGGTTTTTTAGGTGTAAAGTTGAACATAATTTCCCCATGCACGGAGAAACACATTCAGAAGTATTCATCGCAAGAAATCTTTATCGTGCTGGAAACACCGTATTTGTATAAAACCGTCACTGAATCACGATTACAGCTCGAATCTGAACAATTCACCTTGGATGTAAGTTATTGTATAGTAATAAAAACAAAAAAAAATTATTACATACAGTCTTACAGCCATTGAACATATCCGGTTGGATATATTTTTAGTTAAGCGATTCAAATGTCTCAAATACTCGTATTTGAATTTGTAAAACCTTTCGGACAATGACAAATTTGGCATTTGGAAATCTTGCATTTAGTCAAAACTCATTGAACTGTTTCTGACACAAAACGAGCTTATAAATTGTTATTTATTGTTACCTTTTTTGTAATAGAAAATAATTTCCTAATTCATTCATGTTTTACAGTGGGTCTACAATATCCTCGAGCATAAAAAAGAAGCGGATCGCATAATCGTCGAAGATCCATGCAAGACGCTTGGATTTATCCTATTGCCTGATTTTAAGTGGGATGGGAAAACTTTGGAAACATTCTATGCCATTGCTATTGTTCATCAATTAAATTTGAAATCGTTACGATCATTGACTGCTGAACATTTGCCACTGCTTCGAAATATTCAGACAAAAAGTGTTACTGCTATCAAAACAAAGTACGGCTTGGATTCATCACAATTGCGTATTTACATACATTATCAACCGTCATTTTATCATTTACATGTCCATTTTACATATTTAAAATATGAAGCGCCTGGAATTCATTGCGAAAGAAGGTAAACATAAGAAAGATTTCAAAGAAAATTCAGATAAATTTTTTTTAGAAAAAACTCCGATATATACATTTTATATGTTTCTTTTATACAGTCACATGCTCAGCACCGTGATCAATAACATCGAATTGGTATCCGATTACTGTAAGATTTATTACATTTTGTTTTATTCAATAGGTTTAATTTGATGTATTATTACAGATCAACGTGCAACAATTCCGTTTACTATAAAATCGTCGGATCCCCATTATTTGAAATATTTTCCACCTGATGCCGATGACAACGCAGAACCTATAGCTAAAAAGCAAAAAATCGGCGAATAAAATTCCTCATTCGCCGATATTTATTATTTAGTTCTCCTTTCGTTTTCACTTTAGTTTTAAACAAAAAAAAATCACGCAAATAATCAAAGAAAAGAGTCTAAAATAGGCAAATTCACCATGAAAATTGAAAATATATTGATTGAGCATTTTCCCCGTTTGAAATGTGCAAATTTTTTTATACTTTTTGATCAAAATTTTGCGGATGTGTCATCGGTACGCGTCCATTTACGATCAATGGAGATTTTTGTGCATTTTGATAATACGCACAGTACAACAATCGATTTGGAATTGTTGAACATTAACATTCAAATCAATTCGTTGAGTTTGCTTATCGCCAAAGACAACTTAATAAGTTTTCGTATAAATACTGCATCAAGTTTTCGCGAAGAAATTCTACCAATTAACGTCGCAACGACCGATGTTGACACAATGAAACGTCTTAAGTTGAATGTGTGCACAGACATGGAATTTTCAATTGTATGTGATAATTGTAGTGGCCCATTGACTAATTTACTACGATTTCGACGCATCCTTGAACTACCATCCGAAAATATGGATTCAAACGATTGGTTTTGTCACAAACCAGACGTGAGATTGTGCAATGGTGGAAATGGTAGCAGTAGTCATCACCATCAACAACTATTCAATGCAACTAGCTTAATACCAAATGAAAATGATCTACTCTATGGCAATTTTTTTGCACTTATTCATCGTAGTCACATTGTTAATATTCACATTAATTCGAAACATCGAATGCTGCACTGTAAGCGTTGTCTCAGTCACATAGGCGAATGTGTCAGTGAGTCTGCCGTAAAATTTTGGAATGGAAATGTTAAATTCATTCAAAATATTGATGCCAAAATTTCGAACCGTTTATTTCACGATTCCAATTCATTATTTCAAAATTTTCTTATTATTGTTGATCGTTTGACATACGATTATCGAATGCTTGGACGTCAAACATTGAAATTATTATTCGAAGCGAATACCGTCAAAGGAACAACATTTTTATTTATCCAAACAATGGCACGAAACTTGGAACTTTATCAAATGAACAAACAATCAAATTTGAATCGTGCAACAATGATGCGTGTTGATGGTATAAAATGTTTATTTTTAAGCGAAGAAAACACCGATCCAACTCTCGTGAATTTTTGGCAAAAAGATGTTAATGTGATCAGTGCATACATTTCCATTGGAATGCTTGATGCAACCGTTGAACATCTACACATCCTTTCCAAATATGTACCCGAACAATTTCGCATAAACAATGGATTCTGTTTAAGTTATTTAAGTAAAGGAATAATAATAAACAAATAAATGAAACAAAAAAAAATAATGACAACATTCGTGTTTTTTTAAATATCTGGCGTAGATTACATATACATTCCTTACATCAAAACAACTTTTTAACTTTGTTTACTGTTTATTCATGTTTATTCACATTTTTCAAGTTGAAAATAAAATTTCGAAAATAATTCAACTAAAACACACCATGGTGATCTAGATGTTTGAAGTATGCATTTTCTTCAGATCTTTGTAATTGCCTTTATTTTTTTATAAACAAGTTGGGGGAGATTCAGTAAAGACCTATAAAAAATATTTGTATATTATAAGACACTTTGTTTCTTTGATCACAGTCAAACCCCTTTTTAACGGAAACTCCAAGTAGTGCAAAACATCTACCGTGGAATTCCGTTAAAAAGAGTATTTACAATTTCATTAGAAAAACATTATTATTTTTTTATTATTCATTAGCACAACAGAACCCAAAACAATCATTTAAAAAACATCCGCACCTATCAAGCAGAAACAAAATTTCATTCGGTTGGGTAACTTGCTTAGCATTCCATGGCTGTTCTTTTATGGCATTGAATACCGCATCATTCCTGTTCAAATCGTTATAAATAAATTGATAAAATTGAGTAATGTAAGTACAATACATGATATGAGTATGAGTGTTCAATTCTGCATACAATAATTGTATGTTTGCTTGAAAAAAGTGACTTTTAAAATCCGTAAAACGCAAAAGCTCCATAATTCTTATACGTTTATAATATTCACAGTAGGATATGTTTTGCATTCGATAGATTTTAAAACTCATTTCCTTGCTAGTACCAACTAACGTTATTTTGAAACAAAGGTCCGTTACATACTTTTCAGAAACGAATGTGATATATTTTGCACCATGACGACCGGCGTAGTTCACACGATCTATGTATAATTCGATATCTTGAGGCAGATCATAGTTGAATATTACCTTAGCGCCCAGACTATGGTTCATACTTTGTATGCTTGAGTCAGTAATGATCGAGATCCACTGAAAGTTATGGAGAGACTTGAATATTTTTTGAACATTACAAATAATAAATGTTAATATTCAATACCTTGGCATCATAATGGGGGAGAGGTGACAACAGAAATTTCAAAAAATCGATGGAATCGTTTGATTTTACAAAAATCGCTGTCCTCATGTTTTTGAAAACCTTCAAAAATGCTATTAATTTATCAGGCTTTTCACGTTCATTCACATCAACATAGTATTGTTGTAGGCCACGAACGGTAATTTCAGTCTTGGTGTCGTTTATCACAAATAGCTGGGGCATTGCAGGGATCATGTATTAAAATATAGAAAGAAAAAGTTGATTTTTGTTAATTTTTCAATTTGAAACAGACTCGAAATCTGGTTGAACTAATTACATTATTCTTAGCCAATCTCATGCATGATTCTTGTTCAGATTTATATAGATTCTTTGCAAAAATTAAAACTTGATTCTCGCGGTTGACTTTGCTAAAAATATCGCGCACTGCTTTCAAATGATCTAATTTGTGGAAACAATAAAATGAACATGATGTAGTATTGTGTTTGTAAAATTCTATGTTTGTTCATAATTGAATTTACCACTGGATAGTAAAACTTCGTTCATCAAAACGGCAATAAATTTTTCATTTAACTTAAACTTTTCTCCCAGAATAAGTTCAAGAATACACCTTGGTGTACCCACAGCAATATGCGGAATTTTATCGTTCTGTTCTATATCCGTTGAATTCGTGTCAGAAAATAGACGCACATTTAAGTCTGTCTCATGATGTTTCGGGAAATGAACGAACGTTTTTCTTATTTCATCAGAAGAATCGGCATCGTGTGTCATGACAAGCACATAAATTTCATCATTCAGTTTTGGCAATCGCTGTAACGTTGCTAAAACTACAACACATGCTGGACCCATACCTGAAAAGAGGAAATTTATTCAAATGAATCATGCATCAACGTCAAATTCGCATACAATATATAGTACTCTTACCCGAGTTCCCTTGAAACAGAATATTTCTTCCAGATATGAATCGACGAAGGCATTTCAATTCAGCTGAAATGAAATGGGGAATAGATATCAAACATTAAAATCCAGAAAAATATGTTTTATTTTTAAAGTTAATTACCCTCGGATGGTTTATTAAACACATCTGCTTTAATTTTGCCAAGAATGTCTGGTTTTAACTTAATACCATGAAAATCCAGTTCATTCTGATTAATGTTGTTCATTTCTACTGAACCAAATTGTGAAGCCATTTAGATTAATAATTAATTGAAATAAACTAACTTTTTCACATGAAAGTCTTTTTTCGGACTAATGATGATATGTCAGACCACTTATATTGAAAATTCGGTATATTTTCTTCTTTTTAATTGAATTTATTTGCTAATAATTCGGTGCAAGGAATTGAAACACAAAAAAATTCAACTCGTTTTCGCAAATGCAGTCTGTTTGAAGTATCGCATGCGATGAGAATCACAAATGAAAAGAAAAAGATATCTTTCTATTGAACAACAAGTATTGCCAACTTGACTAGCACAAATATTATGCACATGTCTTCAGTATTTGTCAGGGTTACATACGGTGTACTCACTTGTTGTGCGGCGCACTTTAAGATTTAAAAAACGTTATTGTTTTCAATTCTTAAATATTTCTAACAAAAATTGAACAATGAAATGGCATTGACATGTCTTATGCCACATTCGACATAGAATAAGAAAAAATTAAAAACCAAAACAATTTATTTGATAAATAATTTCTTCAACAAAAAAAAATCAGAATATGAACAAGTCTGAAGTTAATACTAATAATAATAATAATAATAATAACTGCACCGAACAGCGTTCCTTTGCCTTGGTGGTTTATTGAAAATAATTTAATTAAATAAATATAATATAATTTGATTTTTATCAAGCATTTTTGAGAGAGAATATGAAAAATTATTGTTTCTTTCCTTTCATGTAAAAAATATAAATTTCATAAATCAATTTTCCAACTGCTCAAAATTTCTACAATCCATAACAAATAACTTGTATTGGAAGTATAAATTAAAACGTAAGGATTCGTATCTAACTTCATATCTATCACACGTGCAATTGTTTGGGCAGTGAAAGCTGTTGTATCTTAAAGAGCGTCAAAAAATCTACTAAATTCGATCTGTCATGTGAAAACAATTCTGCACACACAACTTTTTTATTACGATTAAAATGTCGAATTACGTTCCAACAAAACAGCATTTGCGGGAAGCAATGCTTTTGTACTTTAATCAAAAGAAAAGTGCTGCTGAATGTCATCGTTTGTTGTCGGAAACGTATCCCAAATATTCAATTTCAATAAGTGTATGTGAAAAATGGTTTAAAAGATTCAGAAGTGGTGATTTTGACACGGAAGACAAAGAGCGTCCAGGCCAGCCGAAAAAATTTGAAGATGAAGAATTGGAATTGTTACTCGATGAAGATCCATGCCAAACGCAAGAAGAACTCGCTAAATCATTGGGAGTTACTCAAGCAACCATTTCACAACGTTTAAAAGCATTAGGGTTCATCCAAAAATTTGGAAACTGGTTGCCGCACGAATTGAAACCGAGAGATGTTGAAAGGCGTTTTACCATCTGTGAAATGCTGCTCGCAAGACAAAAAAGCAAGTCATTTTTGGATCGAATTGTTACGGGCGATGAAAAGTGGATCCACTACGATAACCCAAAGCGAAAAAAATCATACGTTCGACGCGGCGAACCAGGACCATCGCAAGCAAAGGAAGATATTCATGGTTTCAAGGTAATGCTCTGTGTTTGGTGGGATCAAAAGGGTATCGTGTATTATGAGCTGCTGGAACCGGGTTAAACAGTCACAGGAGATCGCTATCGACTACAACTGATGCGATTGAAGCGAGCATTGGACAAAGATCGGAAAGAATGGAGACAAATTCAAACAATACTTGGAAACAACTAAGTGGGAAGTTCTACCCCACCCGCTGTATTCACCAGACATTGCTCCTTCTGATTACTACTTGTTTCGAACGATGCAAAACGAATTGGCAGGCAAACGCTTCACTTCTTCGGAGGAAATCGCAAATTGGGTCGGTTCGTGGTTTCGTTCAAAACAACAACCATTCTTTTGGCACGGAATCCATGAATTGCCTGGAAAATGGGAAAAAGTAGATGGACAATACTTTGAATAAAAAAATGTGTACCATTCTCTTGAAATAAATGCCCAATTTCAGTGAAAAATCCTTACGTTTTAATTTATACTTCCAATATTTATCTGCTTTGCTTTAAATAGTTTTCTATTCTCAGTTTGTCCTTTTTTCGGTATAAAAATCGTTGAATGATGTAAGCATATAATTTATTGGTTCATATTTTGTGTAATCAGTTCTCCTAATTGGTAAATCAAATAGTGGTGTTGCTCTGGTATCATGTGCTGGATCATAATATTTTATACTGTTTGAAACATAAGTTGACTTTAAATCTCCGTGAATAATTTTGAAAATAAAAGACACTTGCGCCATCTTGCGTCTCTCCTCAAGAGTAATCATTTGCAGAAATGGTAGTCTGTGTATTCGTATTTTGGCAGTCTAAAATCATTCCAGAACATTCTCCTTAGAGCATATAATAAAAATTGTTTTTGTATTGACTCTATTCTTTTGCACATATTGTCGTAGTGTGGATTCCATATTTCAGATCCATACTCAATAATCGGTAATATAAATGTAAAGTAAAGGCGTTTTAACGTCCATGGGTCGACAAAATCTTGATTTTGCCAATCTTGATTTTGCCTTAGCTGCAACATGTTCGATGTGTGATTTGAAATTCATCCTTACATCAATACTCCCAAGTCCTTCATTACTTCAACTTTTTCAATTTGCACGCCATCCACGTTTTAATTATATTCATATTTCATTGATCCACGATAACATGATATTATTTTTGTTTTGTTAACATTTAACTTTAATAAATTGCGCCCATAGTAATTTGCTACACGATCTAAATCCCTTTGAAGATGATAACAGTCATCTTCTGATGTTATACATTTTGAAATTTTGGTATCATTAGCGAATGAAAGGATACAAGAATTGGTCACGACGAAAGGTAGATCAATTACAAACATGATGAACAAAGTTGCGCCAATGGGATAACCTTGACCAGTACCAGAAGTTACTTCGATTGGGTCTGATTTGGTATCTGATATCTTGACTATTTGTGTGCGACCAGACAAATACGATTCGATCCATTTTATCAGCTGTGTATTCAATCCCATGATGTTTAGCCTAGGGGACATTCATACTAGAAAAACTAGTGAAACTAGCAGCAACTAGCAGCGACTAGCAAGCACTAGCGTATTATAGTCCAAAGCAAATGAATTGAGGCATGTAAAATATATTGTAGCATGCGTAAGTCGCTTGCAAACGAACCGTTGCCGCAATACACTCACTTCGTTATCGTGCGTCTCCGCTATTCACTTGGTTCGTTTACAAGCGACTTAAGCATTACTGTTGTTTCTTTTATGTATCATACGATACGTCTAGGTAATTTCAAAACACTAGAAAAACTAGCAGCTACTAGCAGCACTAGTGTACTCACTAGTAATACTAGTAAGCGATTAGCGAATACGTAAATAAAACTAGCTTACTAGAATTGCTACGAATGTCCCCTAGTGTTTAGCTTTTGAATTAGTAATTTTATATTCACAGAATCAAAAGCCTTTGCGATGTCCAAATATATGGTGTCTGTTTGATGTCTCTTTCCCATGTTGATTATCGTATTCGATGTAAATTCATCCAAGTTCGTTATCGTTGACCTATTTTTGATGAACCCATGCTGACTTTCGTGTACTATGTTCTTTAGATATTGATTGCCACCCAGAGGAAGAGCGAGAGGCACATTGCCACCGCCTCAACAGCAAATGCCACCACCAAGAGGAAGGGGGAGGGGTATACTTCAACTTCATTCACAGCAAGCACCACTGCTCGTACCATTGCATGTACGCTACAATCGCCAAAGATATACAAACCCAGAAAAAAATGATATGTTTGTAGCGTACATCCAATCCAACAGATGTTCGGCATTGGCTGCAATTCGGTACAGGCGACAGTATCCTCAAAGGACTCAACCCAATCGAACTTACTTTCGAAAGCTCGAAGTTAGTTTGAGAAGGTTTGGGTCCTTCCAAAAGCCACGGCAGCCGAGAACACCAACGGCTACTGGCGAGGATAATGCCATCAATGTACTTGCTCAGATGGAAGTATACCCCAAAACCTCTTTGCGACAAATCGAACGACTGGGTATTTCTTCAAGAGCTTCGGCTCAACGAATATTGAAGAAATACCGCTACATTCCGTACAAGCCCATGCGAGTACAAAAGCTCCATCGTGACGACAATCAACGACGCCTAACATACGCTCGTCGTATGTTGAGCTTGTTAGGCCCCGCCATTGATTTGAGTCACGTCATATGGAGCGATGAATGTACGTTCAGCAACCAAGGGGCCCCAAATCGTCAAAACTGTCGACACTGGGCATCAACCAATCCACATCTAATAGTTGAGACTAATGACCAATACAGGTACAGTGTCAACGTTTGGTGTGGATTGGTGAACAACCAGCTTTTGGGGCCTTACATCTTTGATGGAAACATGACGGGGGGGTCGTATCTGAACTTTTTGAGGCATCGATTGCCCGGAATAATCAACAATCTCCCCGTTCATATCAATCAACATCAATTGATATTCCATCAAGACGGCTTCGGAGGATGTTTGGTGATCGCGTTATCAAAGTGGATCGTAATGCCGATGCCGAGACTTCGCTATTTCCACTTTGGCCAGCACGATCACCAGACCTAACGCCACTTGATTTTTATCTTTGGGATTACCTCAAAGATAGAATTTATGTGGATATGCCTCTGAATGCCGAAGCAATGAAAGAGCGAATCCGGGAAGAATGTGCTGGACTACCTGCTGAACAAATATTAAAGGCTTGTACGGATGGAGTTAGGAGTCGTTTGCAACTTATTGTCGAGCAGGGTGGTGGCCACATTGAACAACTCCTCACGAGGCGTGTAAATGACCCATAAGGTCACTTGCCACAAAGTTACTATTTCTTAATTTTTTTAGACATTTCAATTTAAGTTTATCGCTTTTGGGATGGCGATAAATTTAAATTGAAAAATAAAAAATTAAGAAATAGTGCTTGTGTGGCAACCTGCCCAACGGTGATAGGCTTTGACGTAGCGGGCGGACTGAGTAAGTTGAATTTAGATTCAACTGAAACCAGCATATCACCATAAAAAATTTGATGACACAAGCAAAAAGTAATAAAAAAAAAATTGGAAATTAACTTACCTTGTAGAGACAGACTCAAATCGACTTGATGAAAATCAATTTTTCTAAAAACTATTTTATTTTATAGAGATGGACTCTAACAATATGATAGAATCAAGAAAACCACGAACAGTTGAAATAATTTTTGAAAAAATT